ACTGAAGGTTTTAGAATAGTGTAACGTCATTGTTAGACCCACAAACTAGCAACTGTGTGAAATGTAGGTTAGAAAAGGAAGAGAGAAGAAGCAGATGGATTAGAAGCCTGTTACCCTAGTCTGTGAAAGAAGTATTGAGGAACTAAACTATTACGATGATGGTTGTTTGAGTGAACAAAAAGGGATAAATTTGTGAGAGTTCATGGTTGTAGAACTGATAGGACTCTGTAACTGGTTACATATGAGAAATAATGGAGAGAAGAAGCAAAGATGACTTCAAGGTTATAGTATGTACCTGGGAGATTAGAAGATTATATAGATCAATAGAAATATGGAAGTTGGGAGGAAAGGCCAGTTTTGGAGGGATACTTGAATTAAGTGATATTTAATTTAAGTGATTTCTCATATGTTTAATTCTTTAAAAATTAGTGATCCGAAGAACACTAGTTTTTTTTTCAATTAGAATATGAAAAAAGTCATTTGACACTGAAACCATATTAAATATAATTTAATTTGGAGTACTGTTATAGTAGGAATATTGCTAGATTTTAAGTCAGAAAAAGTGGATTTGATGTCCATCTCTGCTCCTTCTATGACCTTAAGCAAATCACTCACTTTGCCTTTCCAGGTTTTAATTTTCTTATCTGTAAGAATGAAGGGATAGACTAGTGAACACTCAATGTTCTAAATCTATGATCTTATAATCCTAACCTTTCCCTAAAGAATCAGAAGGCACTTAAGGATCTTGGAAGTCCTCAGAATTATCATTCTGAACATCAATAATCATTTCATGGCATTGTTAGTGGTTAAAAAAAGTATAGGAGACTGAACTGAAGCTATACTGACCCAGTAACATACTCTAAAAATTGATATTTTCAATACATCTCAGGTAAACAGGCTTACTGATCTTTTTATATTTTTTCCATAAAAGTAGAATACAGTAAAATAGCTGCTTATCTGAATATTTTGATTATTTGTATTCTGGATAGATAGGAATTTATGTTCTTTTTAAAAAAAATACCTACTTTCTTTTATGTAAAAAAAAGAAAGCAGTGATGTGAGTACAACTGTTAGAATGAAAGACAAAGATTACCAGTGCCACCACAGCCCTCTAATCTTTGAATTAAGCTCTAAGATAATTTTCATCAACACTGGGAACATGATGGGAATTGAAATGAATTTTCTCACCTAAAAGCAAATAACAGTCTCCCCACTTGGTGGTGGTGGGGGCACTGAAGCAGAAAAAAAGTATTTCAAAAAATAGATGATTTTTTTGCTGGTTGACTGAATGCAGGTGTGGGTTTGATTCAGAAAAGAGACAAAATAAATTATTTGCTCGGGATTATCTCAGAGATGCACTTTGTCCCTTACTCTTTGGGAAAGGGGTAATGAATCAGCTGAAAATGGCATTTTATGGAGCAGACATCACAGTAGATAATACTAAAAACTTGTAGCTCAGAAAAGAAATCATCTCAGCAGATGACTTCAATAGATCATACTGGTAGAATATGATAGAGTTTATCAAAAGAAATGTAGGAAGCAGCAAGTAGGAGCTTTGGAAACAAGGAAATGTTCTATGTGGGCTATAGCCTGAGGAGCATGAATTGTTCAGATTGCGCACATTCTCTCTCTCATTTGGTTTCTTCTGGCTGTGTGTATTCCCTTCACAAGTTCCCTCTTCTTTCTCTGATCCTTGGCTATGTACATTCCCTTTCTAAGTAGAGGCATAAGAATATTTATAATGTGCCTAATGGTGTGTGTGTGTGTGTGTGTGTGTAGGGCAGCAAAATAATTTTCCTTTCCATTTCTTTTCTTGTTCTGTTTTAATTATATGCCTTTTGCTTTGAAGAAATATGTACTTTGGTTTAGTTTAGTTTAAAAAAGAGAAACACTAGATGAGGGTCTGTGAACTATGCTTTTGAAAATGTATGGAATAAAGAATCAGTCAGTCATTAAACAATTATTAAGCATCTATTACGTGCCAGACTTGATACTAAGTGCTGAAAATACAACAAAAAGTAAAAAAGAAAGACAGACTTTGTCCTCAAGGAACTTACAGTCTAATAAGGAAGTACAAATGGAAGCTAAAGAAATCACCTTAATTTCTGAATATTTTTCATCCTTCCCGACCAAGTAAGTCACTTCTTCTGACAAAGATTTTTTTAAGAGTTCAATAAAAAAAAAATTCAATACATCAATTGTGTTGATGCAATAATCCATACCCATAATCTTCCACTTCTGCAAAGAAGAGAGGGAAGGGCATTTTTCTCAACTTCTCTCTAGGATCAAGCTTCACCCATAATATTAAAAAAAATTCAGGGTTGTTTTGATATGCTTTTTCTATTAGTAATTTAGAACATTACATATGGTTTTTAGTGCTTTGTAATTCTTTTGACAAGTGTTTAAATATATCTTTTGACCATAGGGAATGGATTTGGGTTTTATATTTCTGTCCCTTGTCTATTGGATAGAAAATTCTTATCTAAGAAAGGTGATACAGATTTCCTCCCTCCTCCCCCAACCCAATTCAATCACTTCCCTTCTTATGCTACATTTTTAATGCAAGAGCTTAATGTAGGAGTTTGTATAGAAACTTTTTAATTTCATATAATCAAAATTAGCTATTTTATCTGGTGTGGGAAAATTTTATTGTGTTATTTGAACCTAGCTCTGCATGACTGAAATCAAAATTGTTTCTTAGAGACCAGATAAGTTTAATGCTTAACTGAGGAGCTGGGTTACACTGACCAGAAACTTAGATCCAAAGACTAATACAAAGGAATGTGAGTAGTTTTCTCCCTTTATACATCTCAAGCAACACATGTCTTATCTAGAAACTGTTTCTGTGCTGGCCAGTCAGATACTATTTCCTTGTTCCTTTGTTTGAATCCTATATAATGTGTAACTTACAGACATTGGGGGGAGAGGTGGGCCACCCCTTTTTCAGGTCTCTTGAAAAAGATGACTTAAATTTGCTTCTCAGTTACTTTAGTACCGGATTTTGTTCTCAACTAACACTGATTAAAAATATGTTTCCTCCTCACTGCTGTGAAAGGTACATGATCTACTTTTCTTCTAATTTTTTAAATGATGTGATCTTTAATATTCAGTTTATGTGTCCATCTTGAACTCATTGTGGAATATAGTGTAAGGTATTAGTCTATGCCTAATTTCTTCCATATTGCTTACTAGTTTTCCTAGCAATTCTTGTCAAAGGGAGTTCTTTCCTCAGTAATTTATATTTTCAGATTTATTGAATCCTAGTTTCAAGATCTGAATTTTTATTAACTTCCAAGTCTCTGAAAGGCTAACTGTCAAAATGTTATGCATAACCTTAGAGATCCAGATTAGAAGAATTTCCCTGAAATACATACATACACACATATATTTGTATATGTGTGTATGTTGTCCATTTTATATATAATAAGTATATTTAAGGTGGACAATTCTGTGTTCTTTGGCAATTCTGGACAGGGAAGGTCCTGGTCCAAGTTCCACTTTATGGTAACTCAGAACTCTGGAAATGCTTTGAAATAGAGCTGGCTTCCTCTGGTCAACCACAATACCTTTTTCACTATAGTTGTGCTGCTTACACTTAAATAAAAGATACACACCTATAAAAGATTTTTCTTACAAATGCATTTCTTTACTTTGCCTTGGAAGCCTTTAAGAATTTTCTCAGTCAAAAGAATGAAACTCTATCTAAAACTCTATTATCTATCAGCTATATCTACAATATGGGGAAATAAACCAAGAGAAATATATATACATATGTGTGTATACACACACACACACACACACACACACACACACACACACACACATATATACACACACACATATATGCACACACACACACAGTCATCCTTCCACATGGTGACTTTCCCCATCGAATTTTCACTCTATTGTGGGTCAGCATAAGAAATTAAATGGGAATTTTGGGGGAGTTTTGCAGAAGCCACAGACGACACGTAAAGGCCAGCAGACAGACAACACAGAGCCTATGATTAAATACATCATCCAAATATCAAAATAAGGAAATGTAAACACCCCATAAAAGAAAAAGAAAAACATCAGAATATTGCTCTGGTATTAAAGGAAGGCTAAAAACTTTTAAGTGGATTATCCAGATCACAAGGGTGCCACACCCCTAACACCTATGATGTGGAAGGAATAACTATGTATGCATGTGTATGTGTGTGTGTGTGTGTGTGTGTGTGTGTGTGTGTGTGTGTATGAATAGGCAGTATTTGAGTTACGGCTGTCTCTTCAACATTCTGACAATTCCTCATCAACTTCTTGGTTAACAAATCATTTCTAAAATTATTTTGTGATTAATGAATACATGAAGCTATTATCTTAAGAGTCAGTGAAATCTGGGGAGTGATTGTCCATAAAGTGTTTTATAATATTTTAGTTACAATGAAGTGGAATAATCATTTAATTTCATTTGCTTAGCAAGACACATTTGCTTCATTTATACACATCCCCCAAAATGACTGTAAAATTATGTATAAGTATTATTTAACTAAATGTTGATGTTTGAACCATTCTCCTTAATTTTTGGTAGGTGAAAAATAGAAATAATCTGCTTAGGTTTTTTATGTAATTTATCCTCAGTAGAATGAATGTAGGAAAAATTTCTCATTTTTAATAAGCAATGTCAGAGGTGTAGCAGAGCTCTAAGAGAAAGGATTAGCATCCTAAACCAACTTGAGTTTTCAGAATTTCAAATCAGTTTGTACCGTGGTGGAAGCTGGGACCAGAAATTTTCATATTACCTTGATCAAGTCACTTCCTTTCTCCGAACCTCAGTTTCCTCAAATATAAAATGAGCGGATTAGATAAGATGGCGTCTAATTCCCTTCTAGCTCTGATGTATTATAAAATGCTTAATACATAATATTTGATGAGGAATGCTGAAACTTTAGCATTTTTACTTATTAGAAGATTTCTGAATTTCCTAGTAAAATGAGTCACTTCCCCCAGTGATTTCTTACCTTAAGCTTTCTCCTTGCATTGAATTCTTGGAGTTTCTTTTGGGCAGTGTCCATATGTACAAAATTAGCTGCCTTCCCTGTGACCCAAGGGTGCTGCAGAGCTTGGAATGTGGTCAAACGCTTCTTAGGATCCAAAACAATCAGTTTCCTCACCTATAGCAACAGAGCATGATAGGCTCCTTAGTGGGGATATTAATTTCAAAATAAACATGAGGACAGACAGAACCCTATTTACAAAAACTCTATGATGTCAAAATGGGCACTGGCATGCCGCCTGGCCTGCAAATACCAAAGGCCTGTCCATTACTTCTGGCTATACCTCTAAGAGAATACACACACACACACACACACACACACACAAAAGGATAATGTGATAGAATGAAAAGAGCTAGATTTGAATTGTGGGTTGGCCACTACTACCTACGTGACCTGGGACAAGTCACTTTATCGCTCAAGGTTTCAGGTCCTTCATCTGTAAAATAAAAGGATATGCTCTCAAGTATCTAGATAAAGAAAGAGAAAAAAAATTTTAAGCACTTAAAGGTCATAAAAGACAAATGACCTCTTGTGGCAACAGTCATAGGGTCAAGGAAGGCAAGTATGAATACCATCTAGGGCTGTAGCACTCTTGTTTGTTTCCCATCTAGGGGTCAAAGAAACAGGTCCTGGTTATATTATCATTGAAATTATATTAATGTAGATTAATTATATCATAATGCTATGTTATATGATGTAATGTGATGTGTGATATGGTACAGTTACGTCATGTCGCTATGTTGTTATATCATTTCAGGTCTTATCTCATATCATGTCATTTCATGTCCTATTATATTATAGTCCTTCAAGTCAAAGATGATGCTTATGTAGTTCTCTTCTATGCCTATCTAAATAACCATACATATTGATAAATTTTTAAATATATTTTTAAAATAATGAGCCTACTAATAGTTCAGAAGAAATACAGCTGTGGGTAGAGTCACTTCACTATTCTGGGTCTCAGTTTCATTTGCAAAATGAGAAGTTTAGATGAATTTAAGGACTCTTCTAGTTCTAATTTCTGGTCTCTAACAAGTGCTACATACTTTCCTATGAGGAAAAAAATCCATTGAAATCAAAAGAAATGTTGTTAGTAAATGGGCTAGGATTAGCTTTAATTACAGGAATGTCCTTCATCCCTGGGGCTTCGGCATTATTTAGGAGGAGTGAGCAGTCACTAAAATGTAGATAATCTGGATGAATTCCAACAAGCTTGATGGGCAGTAGTTGTCCTTGGTCACTACAGAAGCAGCTTTGAGCCATGAAAAAAAAAAGCATTTCACTAGAAGTACTGGGTTCTAGCTTTGTGACTTCCAGAAAATTACGACTGAATCATCTGTAAAGTAACTTCCAACTCTAACATTCTACAGCTAATTCTACAAGAAGCCTTGATTATTCTTACGTGTTGCTGTTTCTTTCAGAAATGGCTCATGGGGAAACTTTTCAATATCACGCTATTATCTCTGTTTTATTTAGAACGCCTGAACCATCTTTCCAGCTATTAGTTGAGGTGTTTATTTAATGAATTCAAATGCATTTTATACTAAACTAAGCAAAATATAATCAATAAAAATTATATAATCCATTGTAAATAGGAGGGAGCCTTTTTTCTGAGGTTGCTGTAATATATGACTGATAAAATTAGTGACCTTTCATATTCCATTATTCTTTAATTTCATAAAAAGTCATTCTTAAATTATGATAATAGCATCCTAATTGTCCTTCTTTCCAGTTCCCCTCTCTCCAGTCCATCTTTTATGAAATTGCCAAATTGAAATCCACAAAGCATAGGTCTGATTACATCACTACCCTACTTAAGAAACTCTAAAAGGCTTCCTCTTACATCTCAGATAAAATGTAAATTTAGGCTTTTAATGCTTCCCCCAATCTAGTTCTAGCCCCAGTGTAGGTTTATTGTATATTGCTCTCCTTCACCAACTCCATGTTCCAGCTATGGTGGCCTCCATACTGCTCCTCACTTGTGGTGATCTATCCTTTATCTCTGTGCTCATTCCCAGAATACTCTCTCTCTCCTCACTTCAACCTCCTACAATGCCTAGCTTCCTTTAGACTCAGTGGAGATGCTACTTCTTTCAAGAGGCCTGCCCTTATTCCTCAAGGGGCTCATCTCTCACACTGGAAATCATTTTGTATATATTTGTATTTACCTACCTGTGTTCAAGTTGTTTACCTTCCAGATAACGTAAACCCCTTGAAGGCAGTGACCATTTCATTTGTGTGTTTGGATCCCCAGTGCCTGGCACAGGGCGAGCACTTAATAAATGCTTGCTGAATGAAGGAAGTAATTCTGTTTCTACAAACATTATTTGTATGACTTAAAATATAGCTGAATAGTGAAAATTAATGACTTGCTATTTAAAATGCAAAGCCCTTCATAATAATCTCGTAGTAGGATTATCCTCTTTTTCATAATAAGAAACAGGCCCTGAACATTTAAGTGGCTTGTCCAGACTCACAGAGCAGAACCAGAATCTAACTGAATTCTAGAAGAAACTTTAGCTCTGATGGAATGTGTTCACAGCCGCATCTTTCTCTTAGTATGGAGAGTGGAGAATTGAGTACTTTAAGGAATTTATGAAAATTCAGATGAGGCTTTTTCTTACCTAAGATGAAAAGGTTTCTTATAGCAAATTAGCTGTCCTCAGAGAATAATGCAGTTATGAAAAAGAAGCCTTAAGAACCCTGAAGCACTTTGTAGAAAAATTCATTTGAATATGTTAGCTAAATATAATTCCTTGTCCATTGATTAAAGGACCTTTGTTAGCATTGAGTTATTACTGAATGTCCTTGAAAGTAATAAAACTGAATTTACTTAAACACTCTATAATCTATGCTTTTTACTTATTTAGACTGCTGTTCATTTTCAGAATTATTTACATTTTAAAATAATAAATGTTGGAAGAGACTCTGAGAAGCATCTTGTACCCTGCTTTACAGATGGAGAAATGAAAACACAAAGATGTTGGGAGCTGGGGAGTGGGAACTTGCCCAAAATAACAGTTAATGGCTGAGCCTGAATGAGAAAAACAGATCTCCTGCAGTTCAATGCTCTTTCTACTATTGCCTCTTTAAATTCTTGCAGTCAAATGACAAATGGATAAGAATGTTATTAACTCACACTAAAATTGCTTAACTGAAGAAAAAACATACATGAATACATACGAATGCGAACTTAAACCATGACTGACAAATAATATGTTATTTTCTTCCTTAATCTTATTTTTAAAAAAGAGATTTTTTTTTTGTTTCACCTTACCAAATCCTTGGCATTCAAAGACACATCATCCCACCAGGGGGAGACAAAACGATAGTGACAGTTCAGAATTCTCTTAAACATGTACTGATCTCCCCTTTCATCATAGAATGGTTCAAATCCACAAAGTCTGAGGAGGAAAGAGATAATGAACAACTTTACTAAATAATTAAGCACATTTTGCTCCTGAAGAAATGCTCATCCTTCTCTGTTAATGGTGTTTTCCTCACAGTAAGCAAACTCCTAATGGGCAAAATATCGTTTTGTTAAACTTTTCTTTAACTTCATAACAGAAATTTATAACAGAAATTTGATGTTCTTATGAAATAAGAGTAGGAATTCAAGCACACAGATTGCTATAATAGCTATTCTTATGCTCCTCAGGAAATGAGAAAAAAAAGGAGAGAGAATTCAGTATATTTCCTGATATACAGGGTATGTATGCCGAATGCAAGAAAATGAAGATGCTTTTGAAAAGAAATTTGATCAATGGGAAAGTGAAACTTTTTCCAACATTTTCATTCATCCCAATCTCCAAATTTTAGAGATGCTAATCAGTTAAAATATCATCATCCACACAAAGTTACAACTCCATTTCAAAAACCACTGAAAGAATAAAGACCTAGAAAAATGAAAAATGGCATGGAAGGTGATTGAAAGGAGAAACAAAATAACCAATGCCAAGATTTATGTGACTTTTCCAAAATCATGTAAATTATGTTTTGGGAGGCTGAGATTTTTTTGCTGGCTACAGCAGTTGTACTTTACTGCTAATGTGGGCTACTGAAAATGGAAATCAAAGCCTTCTGTTACAGAAAACTAATAGGTTGAGATATTCATGATCTGCTCTGGTTTAACAGGTAAATGAATTAAACAGTGAGGGAAAATCATCAACAATGCCTAAATCCATAAAAACTAAAATTAGGCAGCTAAAAGATTCTCATTTTGCTTAATTCTTTCCCAGAATGCTGTAGCATGTTGTCTACATTCTTACAATAAGAATTAAACTTTTTTTTTGGTAGAACTTTAAGGCTTCCAATATCTTTTATAATCCACTGTTCTATTTGATGCTAATAATAATGCTATGAGGCAATATAGTTATTATAATCTCCATTTTCATATGTGAAAATGAAGCCTCGAAGAGATTGAAACATATAAGTCCAGGATCACAGTATCGAAGATGAAATTTGAACTGAGGTCCTTCTTGACTGTAATATGACATTCTTTTCACTATATCACACTGGTTGGGGCGACCACATACTGTAGAGGTAGAAAAAAAAAGATCTCTGTCCACTAGGGGCATGAGAAAACAGAGTAAATGTTTTCTCTTATACTTCAGAAGTATTCTGGAGCATAGCCTGCAAAGGAAATGAATGGCTTGTGGGTATTAAGGATAGGATGGAGGGGAGTCATCTGCAGGATGGCTGAGGACATTATGTCAACATGCCCTTTGTACTCTTGTTAGAGCAGCCTGCATGCACTAAGGTCACTGCTGCTTACCTGGCATTCTGAATGTAGACCTGGGCAGGAGCAATGGAGAAGGAAGGAAGGGACAGAGAATTCCCTTTATTCAAGACCAAGCAACAAATTTATACTCTATAGTTAATGAAAGAAACATCCAGTACATAACTGTGTATTCAAAAGAAAAAGAAAGGACTTTGAAGGAGGAGTGATAATAATGTCACCTCAATTCAAAATTTCTTAAATTTTACTAGATTTGCTTTGCCAAGCAGCATAAATAAAAATGTATTTAGTCCTCATCAATCAGCCTTTACTGGGTGAATTCTCTTCATGGTCTGTGGGAAGGAAGGTGCTTCTCTAGTAAAATAGGTGTTGTTATCCACTGGCAGAATTATCACTCAATGAGTTCATTAATGTTTTATGCTTTTATTTTGACACAAGCATGAATCTGTCAAGATGATTAATTGGTTCAATCTATGTTGCTTCCTAGCTGCTAAAATATGAAAGGGAAAATAACAAATAAAGTAGTTATGCTGTTTGAATGCCTCCTCCCTATCTCCAGTTGTGTCAGGCTCTTAGTATTAGTTGGGACAGAGATAAAACATAAAATTGATAGGGGGACAGAGAGGCAATAAAGCAATCAGATGCTACAGGCAATCAGAAAATTATAATGTTGGAAGGAATCAGATGTGCAGCAGTAGGATTCTGTCATTAAAACAACTAGAAAAAGTAAGAATCCCCCCAGACATTTTAATGTTAAAATATTAACCCTTTGCCTGGTCCCCTGAAGGTAAAAGTCCAAGATGCTAATGCTAATGATAGTAGTTGGTTCGTGTGCAGAACTGTTAGGTCATTCCAGAGTTGGAGATTTTCCATCTCTAACAAATTCATGATTCTGATTGGCATGGAAGGCAAAAAGAAAATTAGCCTGTATTGTCTGCCCTGACTCCTTGAACTAGGAATAGTTTGGCTCTTACCACCGACCTTCCACTGTGCTAGAGGGATGCACAGAATAAAGCATTGCTGTAGGAACAGACTTTTAAAAGGAGGATGGTGGGAAGAAGGGCTAAAAGCAATGAAATAACATGAAAGGTGAAGTAGAAAGTCCACAGGTGTGGGACATACATATGTTTTCAAATTTTAATATATTGATTGTTTTTGCTGATTGCTTTTTCCTATTTCTCCTGTTTCTGAAAAAGTTTTTGTTATAAGGAAAGGGGGATAAAGAGGAATCCAAGAAGAAATTTAGATAACTTAAAAACAAAAAGCATCAATAAGATGTATTTTTTTAAAAAGAAAGTGAATCAAGCTATAGAATAACATGAATATAACTTCTGTAGGTATTTTTATTCAGAGAAAAGGTAACAAAAATAAAAATAAGCATCTAAAGTCTAATAATTGGAATGAGTAGAAGAGAAAGTGCTTTCAATGAATGGCCACAACTTAGTATAACTTTAAAATGTCTGAAATGCTACTAGATTTATTCTCACAGAGTATAAAAGAAAAAAAAAAGTTATATTCTGCCTTATCAGCCAGAAATTATTGAGCTCACGGGGTAGTATAAAATGGTGGAAAGGACACTGTATTTGTAGTCAGGAAGATTCAGGTTCAGATCCTGCCTTAGACATTTACTAGTTGGGTGACCCTGAATAAGTCACTTAATCTCTTAGTTTCTTCATCTTAAAAAAAAAAAAAACTGGGGGTAGTGAAAGGGTTTTGAATTTGGCTTCAAAGGTCCTTTCTAGCCCTCTATGCTCCTAACATCTTCCTCCTCAGGATGTCATTCTATTAGAATCCAGTGCTTTGCAAACATTTTTATAAGATAGGAATAATGGAGGCAAAGAAGAGATAGGCAATGTGCTTTAGGAAAATTTGAAGAGAAAAATAATTCTTGAACCTGGGGATATTAGGACTTCATGGAGGAAGTGGTAGTTGAACTAAGCCTAGAAAGAAGAAAGGGATTTTGACAGGTAGAAATGAGGAGAAGATAAATTGCAGGCACGGAAGCCAGTCTAACTAATCAATTAATTTAGTAAAAGTAAAACGTAAAAGTAAAGCAGTATTAGGGTAAAAAACCAATTTGACTTTAATTTTAATTATCTTCAGTACTAAATGATTACTCCCAAAAGTGAAAAATATTGAACAGGAAGAAGAACAAACAAGAGGAGCAGTGCCTTTACTCCTCAGGAAATTACAAAGACTGTCTGTATTTTCTTGGTCTGTTGTTCAATACTGATTAAATTTGAGGTATCATTTGGATTTGCAGAAAATCCTCTCCTTGAGTATGCTTAGGGAGTAATGAATGTGTCACAAGAGGCTACTTTGTGGGATGGCAGACCAAAAAGGATGGGGCCTAGGGTCTCATAAAATGCTGTAGCCCAATGCACTTTCGCTTTCTTTACTTACAAGATATAGGTGATTACTCCCAGGGACCACATATCCACTTCAGGTCCATAGGCACATCCTCTAAGAATTTCAGGTGCTGCAGAGATGATAATACATTATTTCAAACAAGAAGTTCATTTGTAAGTCACATTTTAGATACAATGAATTAAAAAGAAAAGAACATGTCTCCCACCACATAAACTGAAACAGCTTCGTACCAAGTTTTCAGATAATAACTAAATTGCTAAGCCAAGAGCATAATGACATAAGTTCCTGAATTAATTTGAGAGAGAGTAAAAGGAGAGAAAGTGTGTTAGGGGTATATAAAAGTAAATACTCTAGACATAGCACAATATAGTGGAATGTAACTTCATCATCTAGTCTGAACTTTTCATTTTACAGATGCAGAAACTGGTCCAGAGTTGGAAAGCAATTGGCCAGAGGTGAACTATTGATAAAGGTAGGGCTGCCATCCACTTTGCTTTTTTCTACTTCTTTTCCACTGTGCCTTTAATCTTAGAAATTATGGTATTGCCAATATCATGTAACAATTATGAGAGAGAGAGTACTGAATCCAACATTTACTAATCGAGATATCACTGGTAAATAACATTACCCCTCTGACATTCGATTTTCTCATCTGTAAAAAGGGGATAATACTCACACTACCTACCTGATGAGGTTATTATAGGTAAAGTGCTTTGTAAACCTTAGGGAACTATATAAATGTGAGTTATAATTATTATCTTCTCATATTTTTCAATGGAGTTCAGACAGAGTTCAAGGAAAAGTCATTCTCATGCTATTATTGTTTTATATTTAATGTTCTATGGTACAGGTGGATAAGAAGATTGCTTTTTGTAAATTTGAAGTGCTATGTTATTGGATCATCTGTAGTCTCATTGAGAGCATCGTCAGGACAAGAATACTAGACAGGATGACATACGTCTCATTTTGTTCTTATTTAGTTTTGATTCTTTCCACTCAAGTGCTGTATTTTGAAAGCTTTTATTTCATACGATTTGGAGAGTACAAATGTTCAAAATACTGACATCTATTAAAAACAATGTTGTTAAATGTTCATAAATCAATCTTATGTACAGGACACTTTAGCAGGCAACAGCATTGTCTGTAGTAATGCTTGAGAACCAGTGTGTTGTATTAGTTATCCATTCTTCTCATTTTTTACGACATTCAGATAGAGACATTCTTGAGACAAGTTTATATTCTATTATTCTTTTATAGTTTGAGGTTCTATGAATTATTGCTTATTATTTCCATGTTTGTATGGAAATATTTCCAAATTTCAAAGTATGTTTTGTGATTCAAGGAAGAAACAATAAAATGGGAAAACAGCTTTCTAAAAAAGAAATAAAAATATTTCCTATAACATAGGACAGGAGACCTTCTATAAGAACAGCAAATAGCTCAATTTAACAGAATTCTAAAGTGCTAAGAAATTATTCTTTCAAGAAATTCATACAGAGCCCAGGAAATTAATCAACTCTAAATTAGCCATGTGAATCTTACATTTAAATTTTTAGTATCACAATTACAAAGAGTTTGTGAGAGAATTCAATGTTGACAAAATTCACTTAACTTTGAAAATTTGCTCTTGAAACCTGCAGCTCCTTATAACAAAACCTCTAATTATTGCCCTAAAATAGTAAAAACGTAAAAGTCCAAAGTAAATTCTGGTGCATGGGGCAAAGGGAAGAATTCTATATAAAAATGTAGAGTGGAGAAGCTAGATTCATGTTTAGCTCTTTCTGAGTTATGTCTTTATATCATGGTTTCCCTAACTGCTTGAAGGATTATGAATTCCAAAAACATTACACTTATTCTTACTGAAATCTAAGTGCAAAACTATATTCCAAAGCCAAATATCACAAATATTATTTTTTACCTCTTCAAAAGAACATAGACCTTGGCTACATTATACCGTATCTGGCCTACTTAGCCCACATTATAGTAATGGTGATAATGTTAACTAATAAAAATAGCAAAAACAACAAAAACAAGAATAATAAAGTTATAACAATGAATTTCAATAATAAGAACAATAATTTCTAAGATGGATAAAACAAAAAGCTTTTACAATATAGAGATCTAGCAAAAGAAATAAAAATAACATTGAAATAGGATCATGACCATTGTTCTGTTTGCAACTGAAGCTGTATTACAAAAAGCCCTATTATTTTCTCTCTTATCAACCCATTGTAATAATCCATAGAACACTAAATATAAAATAGCAGTGTAATTACTTATCACTAGACTGTTTCTGCCTGAACTTTATCACTCAAGATGAGAAGAATGAATTTTCAATAAAAGTAAGCATTGCAACAACAACAATAATAATAATTTTCAAAAAGGTGAGAATGAATTTTTTTTCTATCAGCAGTAGAATCACAAGGCTTTTGCCTCAGCTTCATGCTCATGGCTTATTCAGATATTTCAAATATATAAAATATGCACAAGTATAGTGAGTATGCTAGAGGATATTGTAATGTCAACACAGAAAACTGTTTTCTATTTAAAATATATGATCAGTACAATAACGTCAAAAGCAATTGATATAAAATGTGGCATTTTCAAGTGATAGTTTAAACTTATTATGGTTCTTTCTAGACCAGGGGTGGGGAACCTAGGGCCTCGAGGCTTCCCCTCCCCTAGCCTAGTCTAATTCTTCATTATCTCCCCATAATAGAAATAAATATGGTTTCTAAATTCAAGAGGGAATCAAATTAAAACATCTTATTAATCACTGGTTCTATGTAGATGGCATCAAGCTTTTAACTCCACCAAAAAATACCTTGAATAGCTCTTCCATCTTGTAGAATCTTTCTCCAGCGACATCAAAATGTCATTTTGACTCAATAAACATGATATCTTAATGTAGACCAAGGAAAGATAGAGACTAAAGGCATCCAATTTGGAAACAAAAGTCAAATTGAGCAAATAGACAAAGCTAACACAAGAGTTAAAGATGATACTTGGTCTCCTTCATTCAAGACACATTGAGGAGTGAAGGAAGGAGAAAGCTGTGGCTAGAAATATTAAAAGACTTACTGTCACCTGAAATCAAAGTTCAATGGGAAGAGGATATTTAAAATAGTTAACACCTATGCAATGCCAGCCTTAATATATACTTTCAGAACTGTAAAATGAACCATAATCAGTTTAGAAATCATCCCAACAAAAACCTGCGCAAGAGTAACAAAAAACAGGACTTCCTTGCCAAAAAGGTGTCAGAAGACAGACATTCTGACAGACTATGATCAATAAGTTAAAAACCTACAGAAATACTTTTGGAATAAGCAGACATCATTTCACTAAGCTACAATAAATGCTAACTGCAGGAGTACCCTACTGGATTGGTATATTGAAGAAAATGTACCTCCAGATGGAGCCTGTGAAATGACTGAGGATCTGAGGGTAGAATCAAAAGGTCCTCCATGAGTAGTATCTGTGAGGACTTAGCCAACAATATGTCAATAGGGAGGCATAAACCAAATGACTGTCAGAACAGTTATGGAAATTGAAGGGTTTGGGGCACCAAACAGAAAGATTATCCTTAAGAAGCCCACATTTAGTAATGCAACTGTGCAGGAACTGTGCAACACCATTTCAGGCTGCAAAAATTTAGCACCTACTGAATATTGAGTAAGGAATGATTTGTTTTTTCATGGACCAACATGACAAGTCCTCATTCTACAAATACAGACCTCGAAATATCCTTAAGAGCTCAATGACTAAACTTTACTGGAATAAAAGCATTACCACAGTTTCAGCTGTTGCCCATGAGTACCTGGATATAACACTGATGCATAAACATTTAATAAGATTTTAAATAAATGTACGTATACCGAATATTCACAATATCCATGTTGCATTGAATGAAAAACTTTCAAGATACAGAAACTTAGCAGAAGAAATTAAAATCATGTGGCACCAATATACTTCTATATAAATATGTACATATGACATATTCATATCATCCTTATCGTTTTGTCTGTTATTGGAGTTGTACCAAGGATTCTTTCAGTTAGCCTACAGAGAATGTTTGTATCCTTTTATTTAACTACAAAAAGAAGTAATTTTATCTACTTATGAAGTAGTCCCTAGAACATTAAATATAAAAAAAGAATAGCAAAACAGTGATTTGTCCCAAGGACTGTTTCCATCCGACTGAAAATGATTTTCTTTAATAATACTCCTTATATGTTACATACCCCATTTAACATTTTCACACATTAGCTTATTAGATCTTCAGAATAATCCTCAGAACAAGATGATCAGCTGTTATCTCTATTTTCTAGTAAAGCAACTGAAGCACAGACAGGTTAAGTGACTTGCTGAAGTTCACACAGTAGGTCTCTGAGGCAACATTTCAACTCATATTCCATTTCATAAGATCAATACTCAATCCCTTCAATATGTTGTCTTATCCTTCTTTCCTACTCCAGGGTCTCAAGAATAATTATCAAGTTGGAATACTCCTTATGCTATGGCATAAACTATGGCCAAGAACCCCAAGATTTGTGTTTACATGGAAAAGGTTCTGAGAGGAGGGATATGCCTCCCAAATCATAGTTCTTTGACTCATTTTGTATCCCTTCCCCACTCAACTTTCTTCTAGGAACTTTAGAATAAATCTTGTCTAGTTTTTCCCTGGTATGAGTGAAAAGGGTCCCAGTTTTTGTGCAAGAATAATAACAGTGTTGTGGTCACTATCCCAATAATATAACACAATATGTGGGGTAGCTAGGATGTCTCTTCAATGTCACTCCTCACACCGGGTGTGTAGACACCAACTCACTCTTTGGGTTAATTCTTTGGGTCATTCCAACCTGTTCTTCTATGGTAGGACTAAGTTTCCAGAGAGAGGACTACCACAATTATAATCAGATTCTCTCAGGGGCTGAAGGGTTACTGTTGAAGGGAAATATACCACCACCACCCCCTCTACTCAGTACTCTAACTTTAGAATCCCTATTGATGTGTTCCTATTTATAAAACCAGCCATTCAAACTGTAACACACTATACTGGGACACAGTGGATATCCTATAACCCATGTACTGAGTGTTACATTTGCA